TCGTATCCTAAGATACAGATGCCTACATACCTCCAGCACCCATCGATAAGACAATGAATTTGTCTTAAGAAAACTGTGATTATACAGGCTTCGATTTGTTTTCTCATTTTTATTTCAGTTTATTATATTATTGCAAAATGTGTTTGTATTGTATTTCTATTATTATTTTTTATTTTATAAATTAAATTTAAATAAATCTGAATATATTTATTTTATTTTAACATGCATTTTAAAAAAATAATAACAACAAACTATGTGTAGCAACAGACATCACTAATGCTATGTTTGGTTGGGAGATTTGGGAATAAATTTGAAAAAAGAAAGGTAAAAAGTATGTGAAATTAAGTGAAATATAAGTATATTTTATTTACATTTCACATTTCTTTTTCATATCTCTTTCTAATTTTTTTTTCAAATCTTCCAACTAAATATAAGGTAAAGGGACCAGATTTATTAACAAATATCAGTAAACTAGATTTGAGCATGTGAAGTCGTTACCAAAGGACAACAATGGTTATGAACACCCAAATTGAAAAAGAAAAAAAAAAGTAACTTAACAAACATTATGAATAATGTGGAAAAAAGAATAATGTAAGGGATATTAAAATTTCTATAAAATACTTAACTAAATATCTTACATAAGGTGAATCTCATATAAATATAAAGGGTATAGCTTCTGTTCAGTTTAGGATCGAATTGGATCGTACTGTTGGACTCGTGGGGTCCACCACGGGTCCCATTTTGATAATCTGAACCGTTCAATGTATAGAACTCGTTGAGTATTATATGTCTGTAAAAAGTCACATTGATCGGATATCGATAGCTATGTGATCAAAATAGTTTTTTGTCAACCGTTAATTTGTTCACCGTCTAATTTTTTTAATACGAAACTGATTTGATCATATAGTCATCGATATCCGATCAACGTGATTTTTTATAAGCATATAGTACTCGACGAGTTCTACATATTGACAGTTCAGATTATCAAAACGGGACCCGTGGTGGGTCCTCACGGGCCCAGCAGCACGGTCCAGTCCGATACCCAAATATAAAATTTATATTTATGTGAGATATTTAATAAAATATTTAGTAAAAGTTTTGAGACAACTAATATTTTCTTAAAAAAAATGGTAAACTACACTAATAGTCCCTATAGTTTGGGACTTGTGTCACTTTGATCCCTGACTTTTCAATTGTGACACATTTGACCATGAATTTTGAATCTTGTTTCAAGGACAATTAAATATACCATTAGATTTTTCAAGGGTGAAATTGTCAGTTTGATAAAATATAAATTAATTTGACAAAAATAAATGTCAAAAAAATAGTTTTGAATTTTTAAAAATTATTTCTACCCACTAAAGATAAAATTATGTAAAATTAATAAATCTTTTAGAAATTTTTTTTTACCATATTAATTTTTATTATGTGTTTGGATGATAATCATGTAAAATTAATTTTTAAAAATTAATCATGTAGTTTTTATTAATTTTGATCAATTTTACATAATTTAATCTTTAGTGGATAGAAATAATTTTAAAAAAAATTAAAAATATTTTTTTGACATTTATTTTTATCAAATTAATTTATATTTTATTAAATTAACAATTTTACCCTTGAAATTAAATAATTATATCTTCAATTATTCTTATTTGGAACAAGATTAAAAATTTAAGATCAAATATATTATAATTAAAAAATCAATAACTAAAGTGATACAAGTCTCAAATTATAAAGACTATTAATATAATTTACCTCAAAAAAAAAAAAAAAAATGTCATTGGGGAGCTCGAAACCGAGTTGGGTCACAATTAACTGTCTCGTGTTCGGCGTTCTCTTTTTCACTTCTTCCAAGTAAAATGTGCCAACATAAGTAACATCTATTTCCATGAAAGTCAATATATTAGCTCAGGAACGTGAATTCTTAGATTTTCCAACACATAATATCCCCCCACCCTCCTTCTTTTTTTTTTTTTAATAAAGTAAATTATAGTATTTTTTTTTTTTTTTTGGTGAAGTATTAATAAATTTTAAATAATAATTCTATAAATTGTTTAGCCTTTTGCTTTTCTTATAGATTTAAAAGGCTTATTCTAATATAAATTAAATAAATAGTCAAGTGTACGGGAAAGAAATAAATCTTCTCATATAATCCTGTTGATCAAGTCTGCGCTCCTCCAAACGTCGTTGCTTTACTCCCTGAAAACACAAACGTGAGCTAGTCGGCGGGTGTGTGCCGAATACCTCTCCGATTCTTAAGTCAGCAAAATAGACAAAGACAAAAAACTCTGTGTATTTGAGAATCAAAGTTGTGTGTTACCTCTCCATAGGTGATGTTGTAAGCTTTTATAGGTTCCGCGTGGCACAATCCTAGTAGGACTTTTACTCTTCTATGTAGAGTCCTTCTAGGATTCATACTCCTGAAAGATAATGTCTATCCTTCAACACCCCCTCACTGCATAAACCAAGTGAGATGGTTCTATCATGGTCAGACTTCAACATGACCGAGGTAAGCATGACTATACTAAGTCGCAGACTAGATCGAGATAACATTAGCTCGCCTCTTCCATTCACTACTCTTACCTTGGCTCTTCTTAATGCTAACCACGGTATGTCTAGACCGGAATAACCAATACTCCGATCCAAACCGGGATAACTTTTGTGAGTGCGACCAAACTTACCATAAGCTCTTTTGGGACCGGAGTAACTTTAGGTCTCTCGCAGACCGAAGTAACTTTACACCTCTCTCGGGCCGGAGTAACTTCATGGCCTTTTTACTCAAGGTAAGCATGGCTATGCTAAGTCGCAGACTAGATCGAGATAACATTAGCTCGCCTCTTCCATTCACTACTCTTACCTTGGCTCTTCTTAATGCTAACCACGGTATGTCTAGACCGGAATAACCAATACTCCGGTCCAAACCGGGATAGCTTTTGTGAGTGACGACCAAACTTACCATAAGCTCTTTTGGGACCGGAGTAACTTTAGGTCTCTCGCAGACCGAAGTAACTTTACACCTCTCTCGAGCCGGAGTAACTTCATGACCTTTTTACTCAACCCTTCGCAATGTGGCCCATAACGGCCAATTACCCAGCTCGGCCCAATTTATAAGTATAAATTACCCTCTCATCAAGTATAAACGTGTATTATATATTAAGGGATAAATGTGAGTTTTCTCAAAATATTAAAATTACTAAATATAATATTTCAAAAAAATTATTTAGTATATTTATTTCAAACATAACACTCCAATGTAATATTTTAATGTAACACAATAGAAAACTACTGAGTATACTATTCTCAAATGTAATAACATAACATTCTAAAAAAATTTCTTAGTATATTTTTTTCAAATGTAAGAACGTAACATTTAAAAAAAAATTTCTTAGTGTATTTTTCCTAAACGTAATACTCCAATTAATATAACACACAAAAACTTTTTAATATATTTTTTTCTAAACATAACACTCCAAAAACTTCGTACTCTAATATAACACACTAAAAAGTTTCTTAGTGTACTTATTTTTAAACGTAATAATATAACATTCCAAACAAAATTCTTAATGTATTTTTTTTCAAACATAACACGCTAATTAATGTAACACACAAAAACTCTTTAATATTCTTTTTCTAAATGTAGCACTCTAATGTATTACCAAAAAATCACACTAACAGAAATGTAAATTGCCCTGCTCAACAACTAACACTTCAACCATCAATCCCTCTCAAAAAGAATATTTCACACCTCACATTTTCATTTCCATCCAAAAAATGAATCACAAAATTAAAAATATGAATCACAAAAGGACATTCATTTAAACTTAAATAACACTAAATCAAATAAATATAAATTTTCAAAATAAAAAGGACTAATTAGTTCATAAGAAAACTCTTAGAACTAAATGAATTAACATTTTCTCATATGAGATTTATGGATAATTTTTTTTTTATTTTTATAAAACTTGTAAAATACTATAAATTTTTTATTTGAAAATAATGATATCTTACATTTTTATCCCACATAAATCTAAAAAGACCAAAGAATAATGCTTGGGACCCCCTTTTGGGGGTCACCCCCTCACCCCCCCTTTGTCACGTGGCGGGGGGTGATTGGAGGAGCAGGGAAAAAAAGAAAAAGAAAAAGAAAATGTAACCAATGAGAGAGAGAAGGGGTCAAAGGGGGTGGAAGGAAAAGGGAGGATGAATCATTGTTGAAAGACCAAAACACCTTTGTAACAGATAAATAGATACATAACCCCTAAGGTTTGGTTTAGTGGTGTAGGTTGAGATTTAAGAGTTTGCTTCTGTTAGCCTCGTTTGAAAATATATTTTTTTAGTAATTTTTTGATTTTTTGATTAAAATATGATATAAAAAAAATAGTATGTTTGGAATGATTTTTTAATTTTTTACGAAAAGATGTACAAAAAATAGAGAGAAAACAGAATCTTTGACTTTTTGGTATAGGTTGTTGGTTTTTTGATTTTTTTAATAACTTTTTGACTTTTTAACTAAGAAAATCACTTGCGAAACGAGGCCTAAATTTGAAACCTTTTAGGTACTATCAATCTCTGTGTTAGGCCCGTCCATATGAAACTCCACTTTGGCTTTAATTAAGGTCCTCGCTAGTGGACGGTGGGATTAGTTCTCTAAAAATTAGTTAAAGTGCATGCAAACTGATTTAAATATTCTAAATTATCCCCAAAAAAAAAAAAAGAAAAAAAAGAAAAAGAAGACAAATAGATGATGGTTGGAAAAAAAGGTTTGTAGAAAAAAAAAAAAAAAAAAAATTTATTATAAATTATAACTTTATTTTTTTATTATATATATATATATATATATATTAAAAAAAATTAAAAAATCAATTAAAATAAGTAATTCTCACACGGGGCCAGGGTCAAATTGAAATGATAGTCTCGCATTTTCTCAGTGGTTTCATTTAATTCCCAAATAAGTATTTTTTTTTAAATTTTAATTTATTAAAGGCCGACTAAAAGTCTTCGGAAAAAAAAAATAAAGCCGGGTGGTCCGACCTTCCTCCCCAATCTTCAATCAAATATTTTCCATTCTTCTCCTTCCTTGGTCTCTAAGTTCTCTTTAAATTCAATCATTTAAACCTAAATTCACCGATTTTTATCAATTTTTTCTCTTTCTCTTCCTATCAAATCCTCGAAAAATCAGCGACAATGCTTCACCGGAGCTTCAAGCCCGCAAAATGGTAATCTCTATCTATTTCACACACTTATGTGTATTTATTTGTAGTTATTTATGTTGTTGATCGATTAAATTGAGTTCTTTTTTGGTTTTGTTGATGGAATTTGATTGATATGATCATATATATATATATATATTGTGTATCTGAATTGGATGATGTTGATGCAGCAAGACGACGTTGAAGCTTGCGTCGTCGCGGTTGAAGCTGATGAAGAACAAGAAGGATGTGCAAGTGAAGCAGATGAAGAAGGAATTGGCTCAATTGCTTGAGGCTGGGCAGGACCAGACTGCGCGAATTCGGGTATGGTTTCGATCGAAACCATCTAACTTCAATTCCTGTGTGAACTTCTTATGTTGATTTTTTTGGAAAAGTTTGTTAATTTGATCATTATGGAATCGAATTTTATGTAATTTGGTTTGGTATGTCTGTTTGGTTTGATGGTGATTATGAAAGAGGTATGCCTAGAAACTGTCTTTGCTATGATAATCATCAAGATTACTGGATTGGCTGAAGATTTAGGCTAAAACATTAATCAGTTTGTGATTGAAGCTACGGTCGATTTTTTCTTGTCCAACTCTAGAAGATTCACACTAACAGTCTGTTTAGATAGAGAAACAATGGAAGAAGATAAGTTGAGATAATAAAAAATATGCATTTTAGAAGGATCCTTATTGTTAGGAAGAGAATTCTCAACATGATTTCTGATAACTAGTTTTATATAGTTATTTCAAATCCATTATGATAAAGTTATTTAACTCAATTCTATTTATCAAAAAAAAGTTATTTAACTCAATCTTGAAATAAATAAGTGAACTAGCATTTCTAAATTTGAGTTATTGTCCTTGAATGATTAAGGTCAAATCCCTTGATTTGAAATCCACGTCTATCCAAATGGACCCTAAAGTTTTCAATTGAGTTGAACATTTATTGAAAGAGTGGGAAAATTACATTAGGACTTTGTGTTGTTATGCTACAATAATGTCAATGGGGAAGAGAACTTCTTGGTAATAGCTGAGCGGGGAAAAATTAGTGAAAGGTCGAAGGAAAGATTAATAAATGAATTTTTTTTTAATGTGATTTTGTTTTTTTGGAACAGCAACAAAACTAATTTTATTAAAATAAAATGTGAGAACAAGAGGAGTACAAGAAGTCCTCGTACAAGGACAAGAAAACAAAGCTATAAAGCCGAAGTTACGGAAATAGCTAGGCAGTGGGCAGGGAAAAGTGGAATGCAGAGGAGAATTCAAACAAATTCTGTTCATGTAAATCATGTGTTTCTACTTTGTTATTTTGGCAGTTACCACAAGGGTAAATCTCTGTGTGTGTGTGTGGTTGGGTTTGTGAGAATGCACGTATATTTGTGTTTAGATGATTACACAACATCGTTAAAAAAAAGAAGATGATTACACAGTATACACACCCCAACAAATACTTAGGCCCCATTTGATAATGTTTTTGTTTTTTGTTTATGTTCTTAAAAAAATTTAAAATTTCAAATGAAAACAGATTTTTCAACTATGTTTTAGAAACCTCCTTCGACAAACCCCTTCCAGCCACTCTTATTAAACCTCCTTTGACAAATCCCTTCTGGCCACTCCTCATCAAACATTTCCCCCCCCCTGAAAACATGTGTGCGCAAAATTTGTTATTTGTTTTTGTCTTTTTTTGTTTTTTGGAAAACCGGTACTTCTTGTAAGTCATACTGGCCACTTGTTTTGCTCTTGTGGGTCTAACAGCATTAATTGTTTACTTAATGAATTGGACTTTATTTGTGGGCATATATCTTTGGATGCCTGAATTTAGTAGCAAATCAGTATGAATGACTTTTTGTGCATTTGTCATTGCTTGAGATTTTTGTGGTGATATTACACATGGTGTCATGATCTGTGAAAATATATCCATATGTTAATTTTCTTTTTTCTTTTCTGCATCTCAGGTTGAACATGTAGTTAGGGAGGAGAAGACAATGGCGGCATTTGACCTCCTTGAGATATACTGTGAACTTATTGTTGCACGCTTGCCAATCATTGAGTCACAAAAGTATGTAACATCTATTATCGTGGGCGATCTCCAAATTTGTTTATTTACATATTTAAAGTATTGGGTGATGTTGTACTCGTTAATATATCCATTGTGAAGGCAATGTGTCTGACAAGGGATAAAGTTATAAGTCAAAAGTATATCGTTCATATATGTGGTGAAACTTAAAAAAATTATTCGTCAAAAGATTCTTTTCTACAGCTTTCTTCTTGGGTTTGAGATGAAACTTATTGCAGGCAACCAGACTAAAGTTGAGAGCAATTGGTTGGATTCTTAGGTTAAAAAATATTTCAGTCTCATTTAAAACTAGAAGAAAAGCCTTGTTACTTAATACAAGAAAAGGGGAATTATGGAATGGAGAAAAATAGAGGAGTTGTACTTCTCTTAACCTTATTTCAAACCACCACCCTTTGGGTGATGATTTTGGTGTATCAGATAGATAAGTTTTCTCCTTTTGTCACTCCTTTTTCTCTCTTCATTGGACTAACCAAATCATGAACAATGTGGGATTTTTAATTGCCTTTATCTTCCATTAGTGTCCGTGCTCTCTATTCGAGTGATAAAGATGTGAGGAGTAAATGCATTTAGGTTTCCACTTCATACTTCTTCTATCCCTTTTACATGGGTTGTGCTTTTGAAAGTTGTAATGAAATGGAAGTATTTGTATTTTTTACCTAGGAAGATATCTTCTCTTCTTATAAAATTTTTGCAGAATTTAACCTTTCTGTGTAGTGCACCACAGAAAATTTGCAATGCATTGACCATATAATCTCTTTCCAGGAACTGCCCCATTGACTTGAAGGAAGCAGTTACAAGTGTGATATTTGCATCTCCAAGATGTGCAGACATACCAGAACTTTCGGATGTTCGTAAGCAATTTACTGTGAAATATGGAAAAGAATTCATTACTTCAGCTGTCGAGCTGCGACCAGATTGTGGTGTAAGCCGCATGGTAAGGCTGTATAGCTTGCCTTTCCTATATCTCCTTGATTATTGAGATTGGGATTGTTAAAGATGCTGACCAGATAGTCTTTGTAAAAGTTTGGCCATTCAATGTTCTCAATCATGATTTTATGACATCCCGTTTCAGATAGTTGAGAAGTTATCTGCCAAGGGACCTGATGGGCCAACAAAAATCAAGATATTGAGTGCTATTGCAGAGGAACATAACGTCAAATGGGAGCCTAAACAATATGGAGAGACGGAATTAAAACCTCCTGATGACTTGCTGGTATGATTATACTCAGACTTCAAGCAAACTCGATCATTGCTTGCTTCCGATAAAATATATTAATTTTAAATTAAAAGCTCTAATAGCTATATAATTGGTGCATTTCACTAATATGTGTCTTATTTAATTAACTGAGCAGAACGGACCAAATACTTTTGAGAAGGCCAGTAAGATGCATGCAGCGCCTCCTATTGTTCAAACTCCACCTTCTAATGTCCAGGCTTCTCCAAGTAGCGATCAGAAGTACAATCCACCTGTAAACTTTGAGCACAATGTGAGGTCATCGACAAGTTCCCAGAATTTTGCTTCAACGGATATTGGTGGTGGTCAAGCAACAACATCTGCTACTTCTCATCCTGGAGTGAGGCCTTCAGGTTGGGGAATTAGTTATCATGGAGTGAGGTCTTTCTTATTGTCCATCTTTTATTCATTAAATGTATGAGCTGTTCTGTCTTACAGGAACTGGATCTAAGAGGGTGGAAGAGAGGCGCACATATTCTGGAGATGGGAATGATTTCTCGTCAGGCGGGCAGAATTGGAATATGGATTTTAAGGATGCAACTGCTGCAGCACAGGCAGCTGCTGAGTCTGCAGAACGAGCAAGTATGGCTGCTAGAGCTGCTGCAGAACTTTCAAGCCGTGGGAAGTTCACCAGCCAGTATTCTGCAAAATCACAAAATTCAAATGTCCACAATGTAAGAGATGATGGGCCTAGAAAAAGTGCTGCCTCAAAGTTGCCAACTGAACAGTTTGCTAAAGATTCAGGGTACAACAACTTTCAAGATAGGAATCCCCAGATATGGACTGAGCAAGTAGGTGGGAATAAGCATGATAACCCAGATGAAGCTCCTGAGAGATTTTACAGGGATGGTCATGGTAGTACTAAGAGATCTAGCCAGTCAACTTCTTTGAGGTCCAACACAGCTTCAATTGATGATTCTAAATTGATGAATGATTTCCAAAAGGTAGATAGATATTCACAAAAGAGCTCATTTGAAGAGGAGGCTGCAAAATCAGAGAAGAGTGCCGCCTTTTCTGGAATGAGTATGAAAAAACAGTCTAGTGGGTCTGAAGTAGAATTCGTGAGTGCCAGGCAAGGTGGCCTGCAATCCAATAACTTCGATTATGCTGGGGAAGAAAGGATCAGGAGGCAAGGCAGCAGTGGTTCCTCACATTCACATTCAAGCAATCACGGTGATGATTATGGTGTTGGTGAGAACCCTTTTGTCGGTATTGACCACGGAAACACTCTTGGAGATGTTTTGCCTTCTAGCCATCAGAAGTTTGGGAATGATGCTGGTGAGAACCCCTTTGTCAGTATGGACCAAGGAAATGTTCATAGAGACACTGTCCGGACAAGCTCTTATAATAATGATGATGCAGTAGTTTTTGATGGATCTGGTTCAGATGATGATGACTGTAGGTTTGATCCATGGCCTAAGTATGATGGGCATGAGTCAAACTTGTTTTCCACCTCACCAGTTAGAGAACCACCCGCCCATCTCCCAGTATACACAGACACTTGGAGCCCAAGGCAGAACACAAGTGAATCACTTGAAAAGACATCATCAGTGTCACATGTTTCTGCAGAATGGCACTCGCCTCCTAGGTTTGATGAAAACTTAACAAAATCTGCTCACACTTCACAACCAGATGACTTGGTACCTGTAGCTTTCGATGATTCCGAAGAACCTAGTTCAGAAAGTGAAGATGAGCTAAACAAGTCCAGGCTTGGTGGGAAAACGGATCCTAGTATTCTCTCTCATAAAGAGAGTATTTTCTTTAGAAACTCAGGTGATGCTCAGAGTGAGGGCGATTATGGATCTAACAGAAAGCAAGATCGACACTATTCTTCCAATGATAATGAGTTGGTTGAGGTAAGTGCTGAGAACAACCAAGGAACAGAATTTAGTGCAGAGTCTCGGAGAAAGTTTGGATTTGATGAGGTGCCCACCCGTCAGTCATCATCCAGACACACAACATTCCAAACAGCTTCAAATGACATGACTAGTGAACCATTTTACAATCCAGTGAAGGAAGAAAAACATCAGCTGTCTACACAATCTTCAAAGCGTTCATTGGTTGATGAAGTTAAGGCTACAGACAACCCCCGCACATCCGAGTCACCTGATACCATGAAAGATTATGAATTGTTTGAAAAATCTAGTTTGGAAAGTGGGAATGAGTTGTTGAATTTTGGACCGTTGACTGGTGGCCTTCGAAATAAGGGTTATAGACGTCCACCTTATAGTAAGAGTCCATCTGGTGATGCAGCATCATCGAAAAAAGTTGCTGAGGATAGCGTGACTACCACTGATCATTCCTCTGCTTCTTCCCCTGCAGTCAAGAGTTCTCTTAATTCCGAAGTGATCACAGAAGTAAAAAGCAAGTCTAGCTCAAGAACTCCAATTACACATTATGAGTCAGATACTGATGATTTTGAGGAAGAACTCCCACAACAAAATTCACGCAGTGAACGAGAGCCACAGAGTGCAAAACCAAGCAAAGAAGTATATACTAAATCGAAGTTTAGCCCTCCGGTTGCATTTTTTGACTCTGATGACGATGATTCTAAGTTGGATCTACCCAAGCAAACTTCAACCAGCACAGGTCGTGCAGGAAGTGGATTTTCTCGGAGGACAAAAGGTACCCCTAGTTCTAGAACAAGTTCTTATTCGAAGACTACAGCAGGTTCCGATGCATCACTAAATTCTGATGCTGATGCCCAAAAGATACCCTCAAGGAGGAGTTCCTATGGTTCTGAAACTCAGACTAAACCCTGGTCCCAGAAAGTAGACTCAGGTCACTTGAAAAGTTCTCCCGATCCAAGTGCAGCAAAACAATCGACTTTTAAGCCAATGCCAGAATCTAGAATCTCCACACGTGGGGAAAATCTGAAGTCATCAGCTACGGAACAACCGTCCAGTCCTCTGAGGACAGTAACATCAACTAGCACTGAAATTCCAAAGACATCCACTTCCGCAAAAAAATCAGTTTTTAAGCCACCAGAATCTCAAAATCTGAAGTCGTCAGCAACAGAACAACCATCCAGTCCTCTTAGGACAGTAACATCAGCTAGCACTGAAAGTCCGAAGACATCGACATCGACATCGAGCAGAGATCATCCATCGAGAGAGAGCTCTCTCAAAAAAGGTAGTCACGTTCATCCAAAACTTCCTGATTATGACACAATAGCTGCCCAATTACAGTCTCTTCGAACAAATCGCCAATGAATATAGTGAGTGCATTCTTCTTAATTGGATTATACATATGAGAGTGGATTAAATATGATGAAAAATAGAGATTCATAGCACAACAAGGTCTGTTCAGATTGTGGCAAGACATAGTTTTCTATTTTGGTTTTCTTTAGCTTCCACATTGATATTACATTTGTTTTAATATTACTGTAATATAATAAATAGTGTTTGGATACCAGAGATTAAAGTTGTGTTATTCTATAAGCTTGTGTTTGGTCCTTATTCTATTTTAAAAATTGCTCTAGAATAAATGTGGTGCATGGATACCAGAGTTTAAAGTTGTGTTATGCTATAAGCTTGTGTTTGGTCCTTATTCTATGTTATAAAATTTCTCTATACACCATGTATGCTCTTTTGACAATTCAAATACTGGTTAGTACCTACCACCTATGCTCTATTCATTTTTAGGGGCTGTTTGTTTTGTCAGACTACCTGTTTTTTTTGGTTGGTAAATTAATCCAATTTCATGGAATGTAATAATCCAATTTCATAGGTGAGTGGAATGAAGTGTAACTATTGGTTATTGGTAAAGGTATCCACTCACATCTGTAAAGCATCTACTTTTTGAAAATGTGTAGGGCGTGCTGCTCTCTTCCCTTGTGTTGTCAATTTACGTACTATAGTATTTGTCTGAGTCTGATTTCAAGTATGTTTTGATTCATTCATTTGTATAGTAAGTAAATATTACCAATCTTGTATTTTTCCCCCCACGGATTTACAGTTTTAAGGGGAGTCCATTAATACCTAATTAATTAGGGTAATGTTAGTTTGTTGAAGGATGTGAGACAGTCTAGTCCTAACCAAAAAAAAAATTAGATATTTTAATAATTTTTTAATTTTTTACGAAAAAATGTATAGAAAAATAAAAAAATTGATGCGATAACTTTAATGACTTTTTGATTAAAATGTTTAGTCTTCAAATGAGGCTACTACTAGCATGATTATTACAAAACTCATACGGGTTGCGCAATTGTTAATGGGGCAAATTATAAATTCCAACATCTCAATTTGACATTGTTTCGTTTCGTTTTTGTTTTTGTTTTTGTTTTTATTTTTGTGAGTTTAATTAATAATTGTAACTAGCATATCACTCGTGTTATGCACGGATTGTGTTTATCTATATATGTGAATTGTGATTTTTAAATGTCTTTTTTTTATTTTTTATTTTTTAAATGTCTTCTTCTTTTCCTTTTTTATATTATATTAAAATTTAATATTTTGATAATAATCATATGTGTTGGACTTTTCAAAGAATTAAATATTTTTTTTATTATAATTATATTAAAGTTTAATATTTTGATAATAATCATATGTGTTGTACTTTTTAAGAAATTTTTTTTATGCGTGTTCTTAATGCATTAAAGTGTTATTATAAGGAATAATAATAATATGTGTTGGGACTTTTTAAGGAATTCATATGTGTTGGATTTCAAAGAATTTTTTTTATGCTTTTCTTAATGCATTAAAGTGTTATTATGAGGGTAAGACTTGGGAGTTGAGAGAAGTTAATAAATCACCCGTGCTATGCACGGATTGTGTTTACAATTATCTATATATGTGAATTGTGATTTTTAAATGTTTTCTTTTTCTTTTTCTTTTTATTTTTAAATGTCTTCTTTTTAAAGTTTAATATTTTGATAATAATCATATGTGTTGGGACTTTTCAAGGAATTCATATGTGTTGGATTTCAAAGAATTTTTTTTATGCTTGTCTTAATGCATTAAAGTGTTATTATGAGGGTAAGACTTGAGAGTTGGGAGAAGTTAATAAATGCTAAGATTTTTTTTTTAAAATCAAAAAATCAAGAAATTTAAATTGGGAGATTGGAGCTCCCACAAGACTTGGGGCTAAAAACCCTGTTTTCCTTAATATATAGTATAAATAGATTTACAATTAATTATAGGTGTTCGAAATATATTGAAATTATGTGTTTGAGAAATTGCAAAATTTTATAAATGTTGTACAATAATTGTGAAAATTTTAACACTCGCTAATTGAGAAATTCCTCACTTTTTTTAAAATATAAATTTATGAAAAATAGATTTATAAAATGAAAGTGATAAAATTTTAAATTAAAAAACATAATTGCCTCCAAATTATTTATGTGTTTTTCACGTTTAGGGTATTTCAATTTAGTGGTGATACGTGAGACATAGTGAAAACCAAAAAAAAATATTTATGAGACTTAATTTAGTAAAACTAATCAATCAGACTAATTTAGTTGGTCACTCATGTATACGCTTAATTGATAGATCAAAAGGATGTATGTTGGTCGAATGGTAAAGCGCAACTGTGTCAACAAGTGTTGTGTTCAAGCCTCGTTAGAATCATTTAACTAGATTTTTAGTTTAACGGTTGTATAGCACGAGTATGTACATGAAGTTGGAAGTTCAAATATTGTGGAGAGTTTGATATCATTTATGGTGATTTATTTATTTTTTTCCTAATATGGGGGTTGTATATAGTTTATTTCTTTGGTTGGACTAGTGTTGGTGGTTGTCTGTGGTGAGAGTTAGGCTTTCTAACTATTGTTTGGACTTTAGTTGTTCAGTTTGATTTAGTATTTTTCGTATTTGTAATTAGAGTAAATTGGTAATAAATCTACACTAAGAATGTTGTAAAGTATTAGGTCTAGTGAATATTTTTTATTGGTGAGAGATTCATTCTTTGTAAAATAGTTTGATGAGAATTCCTTTTATTTGTTTTGAAGAACATTTATTTTCAATTTTATCCCTTAATTTATTTGTTGACTTTTTTTATCTATCGACTTTTGTTGACTATTTGTTCAAAATTTTTCCTATCTGTTGTATTTTTTTCTTATCCGTTCAACTTTTTCCCTTTTTCTGTTCAAATATCTATCCAATTTTATTATCTGTTCATTTTTTCCTATCTGTTGAAATACCAAGCCCCTATCTATTCAAATTTTTCTTTCCTCTCCCTCTTTCTCCTTATCTGTTGCAATATGTTTTGTCATCTTCATCATCTTCGTCATCATCGTTTTCAACATCATCAACAATAACATATCTGTTCATTTGTTTTTCTATCTGTTGAAATACGAAGCCCCTATCTGTTTCATATATATATACACTAATCTAAGAGGAGAGAGAGGAGTCCATTCCCTGGAACCATAGAAGCATAGCAAATAGCTTTGAGAATGTAATCCCTAAACAAGCAACCAAAAAAAAAAAAAAAAAAAAAGATTAAGAACTTGATCAAAAAGATATATGAGTATGTACAGAATATATATATATACGTAACTGTCATCACTGAGGTCTTGGGTGCCTTTGACGAATCCAGAGACGTCGAGGATGGCCATGGTGTTGACTTCGATTCCTCTGCTTTGTGAATAGATTTTAGCTCATATATTCAGATTTGAGCATGAGACGGGAGAGAGAGAGAGAGAGAGAGAGAGAGAGAGAGACCCGCGTCGGAGGAAGAGAGAGGGAGGTTGCGGATGCTGATTAGCGACGGGGACGGCAGATCAGACTTGTACAGACTGGCTTAGTCAAGCCTGTAGTCTTCGTCATCGGCTGAGTCAACGACTAGTACATCATCTATAACAGAGGAAGAAAAATGTATAGATCTGTAAGCAAACCAGCTATACAAATCAATTATATCTCAAAAACAATCAAAATATATAGATCTGAAACAAAATCAAACAAATCGCAACATAGTTAGCATAAAACTATGTCGGAAAGTGCTGGGTGTATAGATCTAAAAGTGAATCAATGGTGTCTACAAAAAAATGGATGAAAAAAAAGAGCGAGACCAGAGATAGAAGCATATACTGCTGGTCTCGTCTAATCGAGAGGTCGAATTGTTGTACAAATTGTATAATTAAATAATAAGAAAGACAAACATATTCATGTGAAATGATATTGATTTACAGGAAATGAAATCATGGAATTATTACATACAACTTAATGAACATAAATACATATAAGAAAAATAAGGACAAAAATGCAAACTGAAACCTGTGTGATACTACAGTCTCCTTAAAACAGATTAGTCGTCTCACCGTGGGTGCTAGAGGTACGTCGACTTCTGTCTCTCAAGATACGACTGTTTAGACCGGCTAACGCAGAAGCACCTTTTGTTAGCTTTGGTGAACGGACAATGACAACATTCTCTTACACTGGAAGAAAATTATAGGCAGAAGCAAACTGACTGTATGTATTCTAGAAACAAAAAATCTGTACCAAAACCAAGGGAGATGGGTCTCCTTTTATACACCATAGGGGAGAGAGGAAGAGCCTCCAGCCATAAAGGCTAACAACTAATGCTCATGAAGGCTAGCAACTAATGGCCATTACTCCTGCAGCACTGCTGGAGTAATGGACCAAAACTGATGGGAAAAATATCTAAGATATATTTTATGTATATACAAGTGTGTATATCTACAGCAGACTTGGCCCAAAAAGTTTAGGTTGGTGGACCACTAATCTGACCCAACCCAAACCTAACCCATTCCAACAAGCTTTAAGCCTCAAGCCCAAGCCCAAGCCCAAGATCCAAGATCCACGATCTACAGATCATAGACCACGGACCCGACCTCGGCTCGGTCTGGGCGGGCTGGCGGCGCGCTAGTGGCAATTTTTCCATAAACAACTTGGACCATAGTCTTGGCCCAAGACCATCCTTGAAGCATCCATAGCTCCCTTCAGAAAATTTGGATACCCTAAAGGGCTTATATCCTTATCAAAATCTTGAGGTTTAAATACCCATCAAAACTTTCTTCTACAATCAATGTGGGATTGGTAGTTATATGCAATTCCCAATACCTCATTCATGAGGCAATCTTTATGAGACAATTTCTCATTCAATTCTCAATGGTTTTTGGTCATTCTTTTTGTGGTGTAAAGACCTTGTTACAAAGAATCTAAACCCATTTAATCCCATCTCAACCCATGGTTGGGACCTACTTCAATTTCACATTAAAGTTACCAAAAAATTATGTTTTCCAATAATCCCCCACATGAATAAAAATTGACCGAATAAAGAAAAACGGACAACGTTTACAACAAAGACTTGAAGAGAGAGCACACAGACTAACCCTACATTAGAAAAGATAGCTGTTGGCCTTGAACATTTTGTAGTAAAAGCCTATCGGATTTACTGGCTGACTAGTGAACGTGATGTCTTGAACTGTTCTGTCGTTTGTGTAAACCGAGACAACAGACCTCACACAAGAGTTAGTCCAACCATTGTTCTTGTTCTCACT